ACTATCTTCAGAATTTGGTGTAACAGAAAAAGAGATAATGTAGACTAATGTTTAGGCCTACAAGGTAGACTTCTAGTGTGGGAAACCATCAAGATTAGCGAGATTTATTAATCTTTCAGATTAAATTATCAGATTTTCGGAATCTTTAACAAGTTTAAGCAATAAAGTTGACTATAATGACTTATCTTGTAGCATAAGATTGTCGTTAATTGTGCAATATTATATATGAAAGGTAGAAAGCCAATCAATTTTTTTAACTTAATCTCACAGTAGATTAAGTAAATCCTCATATGGTCGGTGCATCTCCAACCCCCCTCCCCCCCCCCAAAAAAAAAAAAAAAAAAAAACAGGAAATGAAATAAAATAACTTATTAAGTTATTGCATTATGTTATTATAGTATGTCCCTAGATAGAAATCTAAAATGTGGGTTGATAAATGCATGCATTCATGAGTATTTCAAATGCGTGCATCTGATAAATATTTTATTAAAATGGCAACATTCCATTAGGCTTAAAAATTAAATTACAGAAAAAGAGTAATTAATTTCGGAAAATTACCAGGCAGGAGTCCTTCGCTTTTCCTTTGATGTGCAAGTTTGAACAACATAATGGTCAGAATTGTAGAGGTATTTGTATGTTGGAGCAAAGTAAATATTTCCTTCTTTCCAACCTTTGAATACACGTCCTGCTTTTTGCTCTATCCTTAGCTGCCATAACAATTAAAAGAAAAATTAAAAAAATTAAATTTTATAATTTTTTTTGTGTTCAAATTTTTCTACTACTCCCGCTTCATTATATGTGAAGGTGTTTGAGGGTGCACATAGTATAATAAAGATGTCTTACCTGATCTTTTTTTAGAAGTGCTTCCCAGTTACTGTTGTTTACCAACTCGTATGTATCCTGAAAACCGGATGCAAGCCGGTAATTCAAATCTCCAAGCCAAATTATCTTGCTACATAAACCAAAAACAAGAGTACATTGTTAGTCATCGTTTAACAATGTATTTATATCAGTATCGTTCCAGTTTTATTAGATGTCCTCCGAAAGAACAAACATTATTTTTGCATTATTGTGAAAAAAATTGAAAAAATAAAACAAAAAAGAAGGAAAATACATACTCGTGATCCAAAATGTTATCAGGAGGAAGAGGTTTTCCAATAATCCTACTATGTGAAAACCTTGTTTTCTTTAAAATTTCCATGACATCTGAATTTCTTTTGATCTCATCACCTTCTTTCTCTCCAGATGCCAAATGAGTACAAACGAAACAAAATGTCTTGTGATGCAACGTCATACTGATCGATATCGAACCCTATTATCAAGAAAAGACGGTCAAAATTAAGAAATTAAATGTTCATAATTAAACATGCGATAAATTCAATTTCTTCGAGTTAATTTATACCTTATTTCCAAGATAGCCCATGATGCCTCTTCCAACACAAGAAACCTTCAAGTTGCTAATGTGTCGATACAAATCGGTACGAGTCCATATGCATAGAAACAAACCAACCATTTGTTTGCTTGCTGCTAAGCAATAGCTATTTTGCTCAAGGCTAGAAGAGTTATATCTATTTGACATGCAATTTGGACTGGACGATCCATCGTCATTCATACTCAAGAGTCTCTCCCAATCTTCTCGCTCGAGTTCATTTTCCAATTTGATCAAATCTGAGAAGCTGATTCTTGGTTTAAGGTTAGATTGTTGTTGGTGCAAGTCATGGAAGGACGGGGATGAACTTTTTCGCTCGGAATTTGGGGTGTTATTGTAATTAGGAGAAAGATCTGGGGTGTTTGTGTTGTTGTTCAAAGCTTGACGAATCAAGGAAAGCCACTTGGCAGCTGGACCACTGTCCTCTGGACCTAGTACATTGCCTGCATTTAGAGGGACAATTTCCTGGAACCTGTTCATAGCAGAGGAGTTAAAAACTTTATAATGTAGGTGAAACTAAATTTACCCAATGCATTAGTAAAAGCACACAAGTTTACCAGTCAATTGAATTCAACAAGTATATACGGATTAAAGACCACATCTATAGTAATAAATGCAACAACAATAATAATAACAAATTTAATATAATCTTACAAGTCGGGTAGGTCTGAAAAGGAAAGTGTGTACGCAGACCTTACCCCTACTTTTAATAAGGCAGAGAAGGTTATTTTCGAAAGATCCTCGGCTCATCTATAATAATAACTGACAGATCAAAATTATAGGACAAGGTCTTTTCTAGCGTGCCACTTGATGTAAGCCACTCTCACATCATATAGACCAAAATATTGGACCAGATAACACTCTTTTAACCAAAGGGACATGGACCATCCAGATCATTTTTCGCTCACCTTAACTATTTCGAACCTGACCTCTCCTATTAATACATCTCCTAAGTAATTTCACATGTATATTTTATTATATTTAATATTAACTCTACTTTATAATTTCATATCATTCTTCGATTGATTTAAAAAACCATGGAGACTAATACTTTCTTCTTTTTAATTTATTTGTCGTAGTTTGACTAGTTACAAAGTTTTAATAAAAAGTGAAAGACAGATAAGGAAATTACCCAAGCACATAGATGTCAGCTGGTGCAGTGGAATTCAACCAGTCCTCTAAGTTCAACCCATCGTGTGGTGACTTGCCTCCAACATTCCATGTTCCCACGAACATCCTATTTATTGTTCAAATCATACACAAAGAAGAACATAAGAATTTTTCAGACACCCAAAATAAAAGATAAATATCAAAAATCATAAAAAAAAAAGGTTAAACGGTTTTTGCGTATGAGTTTAATTTTCACTGCTAACAGCACAACAATAACAACATATACCTAGTGTTATCACACAAGGGGGTCTGGGAAAGGTGGGGTGCTAACAGACTCCACCTCTACTTTATGTGAACAAAGATGATGTTTCTAATAGACCTTCGATTTCATTATTATCGTTCTTTTGAATATTTAGATGGCATATGCATTACACAAGTATATTTATTGTTGGACCACATGCACATCAGAATAATATGGATCAAAGGCGGTATTTTTTAACAAAACCAGCACAAAATAAAATATCATAGGGGATAATTAGAAGCTTCCAACTATACGAAAATAAACCATACAAAGACAAGTTGAATCCATTAGTTGACAAAGACAAAGTAGCTGCACTAGACTAGGTATTAAGGACAATAATTTTCCAAGTTAACTAAAAAGTGTAGTATCTATTCAGAAAGCCTATGAAACCAGCTAACTGTAGTTTCACATGGCCAAAAAGTACTTAAACCAATGACTTATTAGGCACTATAGAGATCTCAATTTGCACACTATTCTTTCATCTTTAATAAAAAAAAAAAATCAGGTTGGAGCATCGAGTATAAAATTATCTTTATTTGCTTAGCACTTTATCTTATAATATGAGATTTTTCAACGCAAATTCAAATTTAATTAAACTTTAATGTGGATACAAACCCGGTCGAAAAACCAAAAGTGAATTTGCACATGGCCAAGAGGTACTTAAGCCTATTGACTTGGCTCAGTATGCGGCTTCTAGATCTATGCTTTTGGTTATTAAATTCTAAATTTAGTCTATCTTACATTAATTAATTCAAGTACTATGATCTAATTATGAACCTTAACATGGGTATGCATTAAATTGTAGAATTCCTTTTGGCAAATACCAAAAAGGGAAACGTAAATTTATACTTATTAAAATCAAAGATTCGAAATTAGGAGATCGTTCTTGCCTTACCTAAGGTTTTGATGATCAGTGACAGTGAATGCCTCTTTCTCCAATATTGGCCGTTGAATTCCATCATTTGTTTCCATCAACCAACTTTCTGCTTGTCAAATAATGAAATTACTCATAGTTTAATTTCTAATTTATCAAAATAATAATATCCGCATCATAATTTGATAAAAATGATCTCCTATAACAAGTTACAATTTAAATAAAAAAATTACACTTCTAAAACTTCATGTCTTTTATTTATATACCACCAGTGATTTATTTATTTATCTTCGGTGTTATTCCTTACCGATCATTCAAAAATAGTCATATATAACTTAAAAGGCATAATGTTCTTATAATATTATGCTAAATAATTTTAACAACAACAATAACCCTAACAACCCTGTATAATCCCACTAGTGGGGTATGGGGAGGGTAGTGTGTACGCCTACCCTGTGGTAGAGAGTCTGTTTCCGATAGACCATCAGCTCCTTCCCTCCAAGAACTCCCCACCTTAGCTATTGGGGTGACTCGAACTCACAACCTCTTGGTTGAAAGTGGAGGGTGCTTACCACTAGATCAACCCACTCTTGTCTAATGCTAAATAATTTTAACAATGATATAAAATTAAAATTGAACTTAATTTGAAAAGTTAAGAACTTAAATCAATAAATTAAAAATAAAAATAAATTATTTAATATTGAAAAGTAACAGATATGAATAAAGTGGAATAGATGTGTAAATGATAAAAGTTTCGATTGATTTTTAAGGAGTAAGAAAATATTTAACTATAGTTCAAATTATGACTTTCTATGGAAATTAGTGAAAACTAAAAAAGGAATGATCACACTAGAACTAGGGACTAGGTAGGTCCAGGTACACGTGGCATAAGGAGAGGCAATGATTAGATACTAACCAAAAAACGCTCTCAACTAAATTGTGATTATAGTACGTCAAATCACATAATGAAAATCCATCAAATCAACGGCAGAGATTTGCAGTCCATTTATGAAATTGTATCAAATCAACGGAAAATCCAAGTAAAAGCTGTACTTCACCGGGAAAAATCCCTCCGATCACCGGAAATCTTTACCTGATAATTCCTCCGGCACCACAACGCAAGAACCATCGTCTGAGCAACTTTTTCTTCTTCTTTCTCCTCTACCCATCCCTATTTATTTCATAGAAATTAAAAAAACCACAAAAATAAAATCAATATTATTTTAAAAAAATAACACTGTATAACTGATCTAAAAATAATAATCGAAAATATATATATATATATA